CCAAACATGTGACAGCCAGAAATTCTGAAGGACCCACTGCACACTGGTATATACCCCTCCAGCCGACTTTGCAATAAAGAATAGTAATATTTGGTTCACACATATTGCAATACATGTTTAAGCTGGCCAAACGCGTCAAAGTAACCCCTCTATGGCCAGCCTTACTCTGCTCTGCCTATGCAAATGCTACTGTGAACACAATGCCAATATAGGGGAAAAGACAAAGCGGGGGAAAGCTACCAGGTTTAGGTCTGGCTACTGACCCACGATACAAGAAACAAGATATAACTGTGCTCAAATCCCGAAGGGTCATGTGACAGCCAATCACAATGGTCACATGACCCTAAACCCCACCCCACTTCCTAGCATCACAAACCCCTTAAGGGGCCAGGAGGCACTGGTGCCAAGAGGTTAATGTCCACGTGATAGGTTTAAGAGTCAAAGAAAAGTGCACAGCCCCGACCCTCCAGGTGCTGGAATCAGATCAACTTTATAGCCCAGTCCCTCCAATGCTGATACATACTGTATCTTACTCGAGTTTAAAGAGGAATGTCACCGGGCAATCAAAAAGTAGCAGTCAGTGGCTACAAGTACTGTACCTTCTGACTTTTTAAAAAAACACATACTTATCAGTTCATGAAGTCCAACGCCGTCTTCTTTGCAATCTTCCTCTCTCTTTTCTTTTTCTGTGCTGCCATCTTGGATTCAGGAGCTGGCTGTCACTTCCTGATCACTCTGCTGGCACCCATGCTGTAGAACTGCTGCACATCTGTGAGGCTGATGGACTGTGGAGAGACTCCTGAAGCCTCCTGTGATGTGTGATGGGATATCCTGGGAGGCTGTGGGGGGCCAAAGGCTCCATCATCCTTGATTTGATGAGCAAAGAGGAAGCGAGAGTGAGCGCCACCAAAAAATGGAACTTGCTTCTAAAATGGAACTGTGATCAGTGCGTTTAGCATGGACTGGCCAAATTTTGATCCGTGTGTAGCTCTCCTGGTTTGACAGAAGCAGAGATAGATTGGCTACTGTCGAATGCTCCTGTTGGAAAACCTCATTTGATCAGTAGCTCGCAGCCAAATCAGCTGAAGGGTTCATCAGTGTATTCAGACAGCAGGACTCCTCCACTGTCAGAATACACTGATTGGCAACACAGTTGTTGACACAAAGATTCCTCCATCCACATTGCTGGTGTGGATGCAGCATTATGTTAGGCCGGGTATATATTAGTAGAATTCTCTTTGACATTTTTCATTGTAAGAATATGTGTTCATTTTTCTAATTATTAATGGGTCAAATCAATGTTCGTTTTCAACTGCAATGCCAAGAAAATTCAAAGGAGTGGGATGGAAAATGTTTCTTGAATGCAAGGATTTCTAAGTGTGTGTGTGGTTTTTGTCCATTTGTTCCAAAATCAAATGTTAAAAGCAAATGAAGCCTTTCGGACAAACTGTGAACGTTCTAAGAATTTTTTGTATTAACTTCCTAAAAGTTTTCTCTCAAAATTCTACCCAATATATACCCAACTTTATTTTATTTTTCATTCCACCCACTGGTTGAAAAAAAAAAAAAAAGGAAGAATAGTATGTACCCAATCTGATATTGGGGGGGGGGGGGGGGTATCTTCAAAGCCGACCCCCCCATACCAGTGATCAGGCCTTGGCACACACCAGTGCAATCACCGGCTGCTACAGGCAAACACAATGGTGGGGGTGCGCAGGGATGGTGTCGCCAGCAGAGACACTCGGCTGTACTACTTACTCTTTACTTTGATCTGAATGGCCAATGACAGGTTCTCTTTACCCACCAGACACCCTTAGGCGCCTGATCTTCCTTTCAGTTCTCCTGTAGGGGGCATCAGAGCCCACACACTGGACGCATCCAATCAGAAACGAGAGATCTCCCCTATACTGGGGGGGGGTAGCCAGGCACATCATTCCAGCCCCCCCATCACAGTGGGCATCAGGTACCCAGGAAGCGATGTCCTCAGCACTGTACATGGCGATGGTTCAATAACCAACAATAGCTCTGCAGCTGCACAAACCTCCTGAGGAGGCGGCCGACACGCTGGGGCCTGTAGTCCCTCCTGTGAAGGTCCCAGATACCTCACCGTCCAATCAGAGCTCAGCCCCCTCTCACTATACACTCACCTCCAGTGTTCCCCTTGTGTACACGAACAGATGCTGCCCTCGTCCAATGGGGAAGCTGGAAGTGACGTAGTAGAGGGGCGGGGATTAGACGCGACGTGCAGAGGGGAGGGGCGGGTGTAGTCTGTGTAAGGGAAGTCTGAGGGAGTGTTCGGGATGTAATAGGGACGGGAGGGGACTGCTTGATGTGACCAAATACGGTGTGAGCTGGGAGGGCTGTATGGAAGGGGCAGTTGGGTGGTCCATGGGGTGCTGGGGGGGTGAAAGGTGGTCCATGTCGTGGGGGGGTGAGGAGTGCTGGCTGTAACCGTCCACGTCGTGGGATGAGGCGTGCTGGCTGTAGCAGTCCACGTCGTGGGACAAGGCGTGCTGGCTGTAAAAGTCCACGTCGTGGGGGCGAGGCGTGCTGGCTGTAACAGTCCACGTGTGGGACGAGGCGTGCTGGCTTTAACAGTCCACAGTCCACGTCGTGGGACGAGGCGTGCTGGTTGTAACAGTCCACGTCGTGGGACGAGGCGTGCTGGCTGTAACAGTCCACGTCGTGGGAGGACGAGTGCTGGCTGTAAAAGTCCACGTCGTGGGACGAGGCGTGCTGGCTGTAGCAGTCCACATCGTGGGGCAAGGCGTGCTGGCAGTAACAGTCCACGTCGTGGGACGATGAGTGCTGGCTGTAAAAGTCCACGTCGTGGGACGAGGCGTGCTGGCTGCAACAGTCCACGTCGTGGGACGAGGCGTGCTGGCTGCAACAGTCCACGTCGTGGGACGAGGCGTGCTGGCTGCAACAGTCCACGTCGTGGGGCGAGGCGTGCTGGGTGTAGCAGTCCACGTCGTGGGGCGAGGCGTGCTGGCTGTAACAGTCCACGTCGTGGGGCGAGGCGTGCTGGGTGTAGCAGTCCACGTCGTGGGGCGAGGCGTGCTGGCTGTAACAGTCCATGTCGCGGGGTGTGACGGCCGCGGTGTCAGACCCCTGACCTTCTCACCAAACTCGTGACCGAAGGACTAGCCAATCTAACACTGTGATGTCACGTGCGTAACAATGCCACTCCCAGCTGCAGTTTGCACAATGATTTTCCAGCTAATTGGACCACAATCTATGTACCGGCAGCCTGGATGCGATTGTTACTGGGTCAGGTTAATTACGCAATTAACCCTTCACACTGGCACCACCTCCTTTTTATACAGAGAGAGGAAACTCAGCAATACAGTAGGATGATTGGTTAATCGTCAGTATCCTGCTATCTCTACAGACAGGTTATACAGAGGGGTAAACATTCATAGTAGCGTTCTTCAGTGGCAGGGATTTGTAAGTTACATTAAAGAGCTATAGAAACCGTTCAACACTTTCAGAAAGTATGATTTATTAGTAAAAGGTCAAATAAAAATAATTACAGGAAAAAGATGACACGCACACACGTACACACATACACGTTTAGGTAGATAAGTACTTGCCAACACGCCTTGGGTTAAGCAATTTCAAGTCTTATGAGCTCCAGAATGATTTTCTTTGTCTCGACTGCAAGTTTCGTTGTTTTCATGGCAGGAGACTCTGCAGTGATGTTAAACACAGGGCAGATCTCTCGTTCTCTCACTACACCCAAAGCATAACAGCTTATTTCTACAAAAATCAATTGGACCAAAAGTCTGGAGTTTGATGCTTTCATCGCTCCCAGAGCAAAAGCGCTAAGGCTGGTCTATAATTTGATCAGCACTTAGCACTGGTGAGTGCATTCTATTTATTCGGTGGTGGATTGCTCACGGTGTTTTATATTTCTTCACACGAGTTACTTTATATCTTTAAGATATTTTGGACTTCCACAAATTGATTTATGTACACTTTTTATGTGTTTTTTTTAGGGCACTCCTAAGCTTGATTTATTTAATGCCAAAGTAGTTTTTTTTGGATTTGGAGTTGCTGCTATATATAATTAAGGGTGTGCCACTTTTCTAAGATCATTTTGTTCAAAAATCAATTGATATCTTCTTACAACAGACAAGCCAATTACCTTATTTGAGTAAAGGATTGTTAGGCAGGGGGCTCAGCATCATACACTGATTGCATTCCTGAGGGAGGGGGAATGAGGGGATAACATTAAGGATCCTTAACAAAATAAGGATCGTGTCTGGCTCTGGTGGGCACGATTGTTACACCTCCCCCCTCAGGTGGGTGCGTAGGAGTTTAAGAGAAATACCAAAATGCAGAAGTTTGGAACAAAATGGAGAACTGCGCCTCTCCCTGTGTGCATGATTATTACAAGGTGTGCTGGGTGTAACAGTCCATGTTGTGGGGTGCAGTGTAATGTGTGCTGGCTGTAACAGTCCATGTCGTGGGGTGAGGAGTGCTGGGTGTAACAGTCCATGTGATGGGGTGAGGCGTGCTGGGTGTAACAGTCCATGTCGTGAGGTGAGGAGTGCTGGGTGTAACAGTCCATGTGATGGGGTGAGGCGTGCTGGGTGTAACAGTCCATGTCGTGAGGTGAGGAGTGCTGGGTGTAACAGTCCATGTCATGGGGTGAGGCATGCTGGGTGTAACAGTCCATGTCGTGAGGTGAGGAGTGCTGGCTGTAACAGTCCATGTCGCGGGCTGAGGCGTGCTGGGTGTAACAGTCCACATTGTGGGGTGCAGTGTGAGGCGTGCTTGCTATAACAGTCCATGTTGTTGGGTGCAGAGTTGAGAGATCAGTAGTAACGTAGAAACACTTCTGTTAAGTGCCTACAGGGCACCTATACCCCCTTCCTGTCCAGGCCAATTTTCAGCTTTCAGCGCTGTCACACTTTGAATTGCACGGTCGTGCAACACTGTACCCATATGAAATTTTTATAATTTTTTTGTGACAGAGCTTTATTTTGGTGGTATTTAATCACCTCTGCATTTTTTCTTAAACCAAAAACCATTGAAAATTTAATAGTTTTGTTATAAAATTTTGTAAATAAGTGATTTTTCTCCTTCACTGATGTACGCTAATGAGGCTGCACTGATGGACACTGATGGGCATTGACGGGCATCACTGATGGGCACTGAAAGGCAGCACTCATATGGCACTGTTAAGTGGCACTGATGGGTGACACTGAAAGGCAGCTTAGATGGGCACTGATATGTGGCACTGCTGGGGCTACACAGATCATCAGTGCACATGTCCCATCTGAGGGATGCCGATTACCGGCTCTCCTCTCCTCATGATCTGTCAGCGGGACAGCTTGTGAGGAGAGAAATGCCGATAACCCGCCGTTTCCCTATTTACATGCGATCAGCTGTGATTGGACACAGCTGATCACATAACCAAGCCAACATCTTCGGCTCTTTCCGTTGATCGGTGATCCGCTGTGTCCAAGGGTCACAGCGCACCACCGATCGGCACGCTGAGTGCTCTCGGAGCCGCGCATGCATGGTTAGAATGGGATGATGTCATATGACGTCCTCCCAGAATGAGAGAACCGCCTTGTGTCCGTCATTACTTTATATGGCGGGCGGGAGGCGGTTAAAGAGACTACACTATACAGTCATGGCCATAAATCTTGTTCCCCCTGCATGTCTCTCAGATAATGCACTACTTCACCCAGCAAATTGTTGCAATTACAAATATTTCGGCAATCTCCTGTTTATTTCTTTTGTTGTTATTGGTATGACACAAGAAAGTGGAGAAACAAAAAGCCAAATCTGACACTTTCCATGCAAAACCCCAAAAATGGACTGGACAAAATTATTGGCACCCTCAATTTAATATTTGGTAGCACTCCCCTTGGAAAAAAATAACTGAAATCAATGGCTTCCTGTCACCATCAATGAGTTTCTTCCACCTCTCAACTGGAATTTTGGATCACTCTTCTTTCGCCAACTGCTCCATGTCTCTCAGATTAGAAGGGTTCCTCTCTCCAACTGTTGTTTTGAGATCTCTGCACAGATGCTCTATGGGATTGAGATCTGGACCCATTGCTGACCAATTCAGTACTCTCCAGCACTTTGCTTGAAACCATTTCTGGGTGCTTTTTGATGTGTGCTTTGGGTCATTGTCCTGCTGTAAGACCCATGACCTCTGACAGAGACCCAACTTTCTGACTCTGGGCCCTACATTGCACCCCAGAATTCTTTAGTAGTCTTCAGATTTCATAATGCCATGCACACGGTCAGGGCATCCAGTGTCTGAAGCAGCTAAGCAACCCCAAAACATCAGTGAACCCCCCACCATGTTTGACTGTAGGGACTGGATTCTTTTCTTAAACCACTTGCCTACTAGGCACTTTTACCCCTTTCCTGCCCACACCAGCTTTCAGCACTGTCATGACACCACCCAAACAAAATTTTTATAATTTTTTTGAGACAAAGAGCTTTCTTTTGGTGGTATTTAATCACCACTGGGGTTTTTATTTTTTTGCTAAACAAACTAAAAAAGACTGAAAATTTTGAAAAAAAAAAAAAAGTTTTTTCTTAGTTTCTATTATAAAATTTAGTAAAAAAGTAAATTTTCTCCTTCACTGATGTGCACTAATGAGGCTGTAATGATGGGCACTGATGGACATGGACAGGCATCACTGATGGGCACTGATAGGTGGCACTGACGGGCACTGACAGGTGACACTGATGGGGCGGCACTGATCATTAGTTCCCAGATGATCAGTGTAGATGTCCGCTCTGAGTAATGCTGATTACCAGCTCTTCTCTCACGCTCTGTCAGCGGGCGGAGAGGACTGCCAATAACCAGCATTTCCTATTTACACTGATTGTACACAGCTGATCACATGACAGAGCCAACATCACAGTGCCCCGAGGGCACGCACACGCAGTTAGAGTGGGAGGACATCATATGACATCCATCCAGAATGAGAGAACTGCTGCCAGTCATTACCTTATATGGCGGGGGGGCAGTTAAAGGCCCCATTTCTTTTTCCGAAAACAGTAGAATAATGGGTTTAAGTGACTCACCTATTGACTTCCCACATGTCACCTATTTATTTCAGGATGGGGACATCATGTCACATTATCTGAAGGTGCATTATACCCTATGTTACAAGGCACGGATGATCCTGTATTTCATATTACCACATTACCATTAAGGAGGTGTGCAGCCCGCATGTTGCGGTGAAGAACCCCCTTATGGCAAGGCCCTGCCATTTCTACAATACCATGGAAGTCATCCAGTGACAGAACTACGGCTATCAAGTTCATTTTGTCTAGTATCATGGATATGACTGCTGCTGTTTGATATCTCACCACCTACTCTTGCAATAGTACCTACCGTAACTATTATCTGTTCTGGTTATTACCCAGTACCGTAACTATTATCTGTTCTGGTTATTACCCAGTTGCGTGGTTCACCGTGCCTCTGCAGAGCTGACAGATTGCCGGACGCGGCTCTTTATATATACAGCCGGTCCAGTTGCACCCCCCCCCTCTACCGCCAGCGTGTAAAATCGGGGGGCGCGCGGCCACCCCCATAGGAAAGGTGTGTACACCCGGCGGTTGGGATTAGCGTGGAGTTTTTTTCTCGCATTTCTTGAATTGGGCATACTCGCTAACTGTGCCATACATTTACTGCCCCTCCCAAATTTTACTTGCAAAAGGGGTGGTCAGCTAGGTTTGGGTGGGGGAGTTCACCACCTTTCCTCTGACAAACAATAGAAGAACACAGGCTGCTGAACATAATACTACACAAACATTAGATGTTGCCATGGTTTAATTGCACATAACATGTAAACATTCACAGTGCAGGGAGGAAAAAGTATGTGAGGCCCTAGCTTAATGACTTCTCCCAGAGCTAATTGGAGCCAGGAGTGAGCCAACCTTGACTCCAATCAGTGTGATGATATTGGATGTGTTGCTGACAGCTGTCCTGCCCTTAAAAAACACACACCTGTTTTGGGTTTACTGGTTTCAAGAAGCACTGTCTGATGTGAACCATGCCTCGCAGAAAAGAGCTCTCAGAAGACCTACGATCAAGAATTGTTGACTTGCATGAAGCTGGAAAAGGTTACAAAAGTATCTCCAAAAGCCTTGATGTTCATGTGTCCACGGTAAGACAGACTGTCTACAAATGGAGAAAGTTTAGCACTGTTGCTACTCTCCCTAGGCGTGGTCGTCCTGTAAAAATGACTGCAAGAGCAAAGCGCAGAATGCTGCATGAGGTAAAGAAGAATCCCAGAGTGTCAGCTAAAGACCTACAGAAATCTCTGGCACATGCTAACATTTTTGTTGACACATCTACAATAAGGAAAACATTAAACAAAAATGGAGTACATGGGAGGACACCACAGAGGAAGCCATTGCTGTCCAAAAAGAAGATTGCAGCACGTTTGAAGTTTGCAAAAGAGCACCTGGATGTTCCACAGCACTACTGGCAAAATATACTGTGGACAGATGAAACCAAGATTGAGTTGTTTGGGAAGAACACAACACTGTGTGGAGAAAAAAAGGCACAGCGCACCAACATCAAAACCTCATCCCCACTGTAAAACATGGCGGAGGGAGCATCATGGTTTGGGGCTGCTTTGCAGCCTCAGGGCCTGGACGGATTGTTGTCATTGATGGGAAAATGAATTCCCGAGTTTATCAAGACATTTTGCAGGAAAACGTACGACCATCTGTCCGCCAACTGAAGCTCCACAGAGGATGGGTGATGCAACAGGACAATGACCCAAAGCATACAAGTAATTCAACAAAACAATGGCTGCAACAGCACAGAATACGCCTTCTGGAGTGGCCCAGTCAGAGTCCTGACCTCAACCTGATTGAAATGCTGTGGCATGACCTTAAGAGAGCGATTCACACCAGACATCCCAAAAATATTGCTACACCGAAACAGTTTTGTGAAGAGGAGTGGTCCAAAATTACTCCAGATCGTTGTGCAGGTCTGATCTGCAACTACAGGAAACGTTTGGTTGAGGTTATTGCTGCCAAAGGAGGGTCAACCAGTTATTAAGTCCAAAGGCTCACATACTACTTTTCCTCCCTGCACTGTGAATGTTTACATGTTATGTGCAATTAAACCATGGCAACATCTAATGTTTGTGTAGTATTATGTTCAGCAGACTGTATTCTTCTATTGTTGTGACTTAGATGACGTTCAGAGCACATTTTATGCCCAATTCATGTAAAACTCCACGTAATCCCAAGGGGTTCACATACTTTTTCTTGCAACTGTATTTCTATAGTCTATATACATCTGCAAAGGTTTATTTGGCAATTGTATCTGCTACCTGGTAATTATGATCAGCCATATGGCATAGCAAACAATGCAGTGTATTTGGTACAATTTTTTGAAACACCCCGTTTGGCGGTGTAACCATCGTGTCTGTGCTGCTTTTGTATTAGACTTACTGTCACTATATCTGCCGCATTCCATCACTTTGACCGGTCATGACGTCTGTTTTTAAGTGATTTTAGATCAATTTTGATGTATTCTCTCATACTGAGATGATGGTGAACTGAGGTATTTACCTTACATGTCCATTTGTGTATTGTGTAATAAAGCATAATTTTTTTAATTACTTTTGAGTATCGCATTCTGTCCATAATGTAACCGCTTTTCTGTTAATCTCTTTTCACGCTCTTTTTTTTTGCTGTATGGGGAAAGATTCTGACTTCTAAGTCAGGATCCACCCCAGAATCTGGAGCTGCACCTGGCTCAGCCTTTCAACGAGCCGCTCAGAGCCTGGGCCAGCTGCTCCCTCCCCCTCCCCAGCCTAGCGCTCCAGTGAGCGTTGGGGGGTAGAGCAGAGAGTGGTGCCTGACAGACACCGCTCTCTGCTCAGAGTGGCTATGAGAACTCAGCAATCAGCAGTCATGTGATCGCTGATTTCTCACTCTTAGAGCCGGCGGGGGACAGATGCAGCATCCACCTAGGTAAGTATAAAAGGGGGAAAAAAATTTAACAGCAATACTTCTCTTTTAATAATAACCTGAATAATCCACTTAGCGATGGTGGAACAAGGTGCAGTAGTGGTGGCCTGTGAGAAATTCGGACAGTTTGGATGGAGGCAGTAGCAGAAAGGTCATCTTGCATTGTGCATACCATATTTAAATGATGTACAGAGATGTTTTCTTTTGGGAGTAGGGCACAGATAGGGTAGTTCGATGCCCTGATTAAGGTGGAAGGAAGAAGACAACTTAGGCAGAAAGGAGGTTCAGGGCCTCAAAATCACATATTATGAAGAACTCGGAAGGATTCTTTACAGGATAAGGCTGCCAGTTTTGGAACATGGCTAGCTGGTATGATAACCAGTAGAAAAAAAAAACACTTTACATGTAAGGTCAGCCAAGAGGATATCCTGAATGGGCTTGAAGGGAAGTCGCTGTAGCGCTGATGGCATCAAATTGAGTTCACATGACAAGAGAACCAACCCTTAACCGCCTCCCACCTGCCTGCCATATAAGGTAATGATGGGCGCAAGGCGGTTCTCGGAGGACGTCATATGACTGCCTCCCACTCTAACCGCGTGTGCACGGCGATCGGTAGTGTCCCTCGAAGATGTCGGCTTGGTCATGTGATCAGCTGTGTCCAATCACAGCTGATCGCATGTAAAAAGGGAAATGCCGGCTATCTGTATTTCTCTCCTCATGAACTGTCACACTGACAGCTCGAGAGGAGAGCCGGTAATCGGCATTCCTCAGAGGGGATATCTACACTGATGATCAGTGTGCCCTGATGATCAGTGTAGCCCCAGCAGTGCCACCTGCCAGTGCCCATCAATGCCACATGTGCCACAGTGCACATTAATGCCACATATCAGTGCCTACCAGTGCACATTAATGCCACATATCAGTGCACATCTGAGCTGCCTTTCAATGCCACCTAACAGTGCCAGTCAGTGCCGCCTATCAGTGCCATATATGAGTGCTCCCTTTCAGTGCCCATCAGTGATGCCTGTCAATGCCCATCAGTGCCACCTACCAGTGCCTCCTCATCAGTGCAGCCTATCAGTGCCCATCACTGCAGCCTCATTAGCGCACATCATCAGAAGGAGAAAAATCACTTATTTACAAAATTTTAAAACAGAAACTAGGAAAAAAAATTTTTTTTTTCAAACTTTCCAGTTGTTTTTGGTTTGTTTAGCAAAAAAAAAAAAAAAAAAAATCCAGAGGTGATTAAATACCACCAAAGAAAGCTCTGTCTAAAAAAAAAAAAATGATAAAAAATTTCATATGGGTACAGTGTTGCATGACCACGCAATGGTCATTCAAAGTGCGACAGCGCTGAAAGCTGAAATTTGGCCTGGGCAGGAAAGGGGTAGAAGTGCCCTGTAGATTAGTGGTTAAACAAAGGCCTTTACCTGGGAATTAGTGGCCAGAGGTCTCTGCAGGAGAATGGCCAGTGCTGAGACTTGATCCCTCAGGGTGGTCAAGACCAAATTGTTTTTCAGCGCAGACTGGAAAAAGGACAAAAACGCAACACGCGATAAAAAGGCGCCAAAAAATGTAGAAAAATGCAAAAACAAACTGCAAAAAGCACTGGAGAAAGCAACAAATACAAAATGCACATATGTGAACCAAGCCTCAGTGTCAAGTGTACACTTTAGTTTACCTATCCTGTTCTGTCCTATTGACAATGGTTTCACCAGACCAGAAGTGAGAGAAAATATGGAACAGTCACAGACAGAAACAAAAAATTGCTACTAAAAAAATAAATCTCTCGGTCTTTTTGATCTTGGAGCCCTGGATAGCAGTATTAATTGAAGGCTTCATTCACACTGGCACTGTCACACCTGCGTCTATATAACATCTCTAAGCACATATACAGTAAAGGCTTGTAATGATTTTTCAATTGTGCATTTAGGTGTGGTAAGCTGCGTTTAGAGGAAACCAAATTCTCCTGAATCCAGGATCTGATTAGACATTCTAAACGTATGTGAACACGCCTAAACCTGCTTTAAAGCTTGGTTCACACTAGTGGGGTTTTGCAGGAGAGGGCCTGGCAGCCCATTCACTTGAATGGTCTGCCGTGCCTCCCAAAACGCAGGAAAAAGGTCTCTGCACCTTTCCAGAAATCACAGTTCGCACTGGGAACTGCACTACAGTGCGGTTCCCAGTGTAGGTGCGATTTCCAGTGCGGGCCACTACAGTGCGGTTCCCAGTGTAGGTGCAATTTCCGGTGCGGTCTACTACAGTGCGGTTCCCAGTGTAGGTGCGATTTCCAGTGCGGGCTACTACAGTGCGGTTCCCAGTGTAGGTGCGATTTCCAGTGCGGGCCACTACAGTGCGGTTCCCAGTGTAGGTGCAATTTCCGGTGCGGTCTACTACAGTGCGGTTCCCAGTGTAGGTGCGATTTCCAGTGCGGGCTACTACAGTGCGGTACCCAGTGTGGGTGCGATTTCCAGTGCGGGCCACTACAGTGCGGTTCTCAGTGTAGGTGCAATTTCCGGTGCGGGCTACTACAGTGCGGTTCCCAGTGTAGGTGCGATTTCCAGTGCGGGCTACTACAGTGCGGTTCCCAGTGTGGGTGCGATTTCCAGTGCGGGCTACTACAGTGCGGTTCCCAGTGTGGGTGCGATTTCCAGTGCGGGCCACTACAGTGCGGTTCTCAGTGTGGGTGCAATTTCCAGTGCGGGCCGCTACAGTGCGGTTCCGAGTGTGGGTGCGATTTCCAGTGCGGGCCGCTACAGTGCGGTTCCCAGTGTGGGTGCGATTTCCAGTGCGGGCCGCTACAGTGCAGTTCCCAGTGCAGGTGCAATTTCCAGTGCAGCCCACTACAGTGCAATTCCCAGTGTAGGTGCGATTTCCACTGCGGGCCACTACAGCGAAATTTCCAGTGTAGGTGCAATTTCCAGTGCGGGCAGCTTGCCACCTACACTAATGTGATCCGAGGATTAAGGAGGAACATCTACACACAGGAGTTGATAACATATAAAGGCTTGTTTATACTTCCCACATGACTTCTGTGTTAAGGCCTGGTTCACACCTATGTGTTTTTTGCTGCTTTTTGCAGGAACGCACTACAGTCTATTGAACATAGTTTCCTATGGGACATGTTCACATCTATGCTTCTTTCAGTTGCTGCACTTTTGGAAGGGTCAGACGCAAAACAGTGTGTTTTTGGTTCATTGGACTTCAATGAAGAAAACCATGTAGTTTTTGCTTTTAATTGGCCAAAAAAAGCTTAAAAAACACAAAATGCATTAAAAAAAGCAAAAACGCACAAAAAAATGCACGTGCAAAAACGAAAAAATGCAACGCAAAATACATTGCAGAAATGGATCAAAAGCAAACTGCATAGATGTGAACCAAGCCTTAGAAGACCTAAATGCTGAAGTAACAATGTGAATGAGGCCTAAAGCTGGACAAAATTCAGCAAATTCAGCATGGATCGGATGAATTTTGGTCATTGTGGTGCAGTCCCCACTCGATTGACTTCTGCCAAAGGAACATGTTGAAAAATTGTCCAGAATCAGCAGTTGCAGCCGCTGATCAGTGTATTCTGACAGCAGCAACTGTCGCTGTCAGAATACAATGTCCCGGTGGGGAATAGGGGTGAGAGTATTTGTGTGGCTGGAGGAATATTTTTTTTTCCTTCAGCCTACTGGCAACTTTCATTCAGCATTCTGCCAACAGGCACTTCCCTACTCTATCCAGAAGTAAGAAAAGTTTTACCTGGACTTACACTTTAGGCAAACCTTTTGATTTGCCTTTTGGAATGCAGTGAAACTCTCACTGGCTAATTGAAATCTCCAAATTCTCATGCAGCTGTATTTCCTGTGTACAGCATAAACGTAGGATGCAGGGGGCCCTCACCACCCAATGTCGGCGATTGTTAGATCACAGGTGCCCCCTGCCATCTAGCATCCTCAGTTGTTAGGATGCAGGTGTCCCTGATGCCTAGCATCCTCAGTTGTTAGGATGCAGGTGTCCCTGATGCCTAGCGTCCTCAGTTGTAGGTAGGTGTCCCTGATGCCTAGCGTCCTCAGTTGCTAGTATGAAAAAAGCAAGAATGTGGCAGGTGAAGAAATCTCACAACTAAACCTCAAAAAATACAAAACCAGGTGAAGGACTCTTTCATCTGCACCCATGAAAAAAAAAATTAAATGGACTGGCCCTTTAAATAATTAGAATTTCAGGAACATAAATAAATCTTCACCGCATGCCAGGGTGCTAGGCGTAATCCTAGACTCTGACCTCTCCTTTGGGCCCCACATCCACTCACTGGCTAAATCCTGCCGCCTCAACCTCCGGAACATTTCCAAAATCCACCCCTCTCTGACCAATGACACCACAAAACAACTTATGCATGCCTTGGTTTTATCCCGCCTTGACTACTGCAACTCCCTCCTCACTGGTCTACTGTTACACAGGCTATCCCCCCTTCAGTCTATTATGAATGCTGCTGCTAGACTCATATACCTTACCAACCGATCAGCGACTGCTGCCCCTCTCTGCCAATCCCTTCACTGGCTTCCACTAACCCAAAGGATAAAATTCAAAATACTAACCAGAGCTTACAAAGCCATCCACAACACTGTCCCTAGCTACATCACCAACCTCATCCACAGATACCGTCCAAATTGCCAGCTCCGCTCCTCCCAGGACATCTTCCTCTCTAGCTCCCTCATCACCTCCTCCCACGCTCGCCTCGAGGAGTTCTCCAGAGCCTCTCCCATCCTCTGGAACTCCCTATCACAGTATGTCCGGTCAGCCCCCACCCTGTCTGCCTTTAGGCGATCTTTGAAAACTCACTTATTCAGGGAAGCCTACCCCACCTCCACCTAAGAACTATACTTGAATCACCTCCATCAGATCATCTCCCACTGTTATCTTTTGTATCACCTCCCCCTTCCTTTAGATTGTAAGCTCCACGAGCAGGGCTCTCATATTCCTTCTGTATTGTAATTATACTGTCTCCCTTATATTGTAAAGCACTGCTCAAACTGTTGGCGCTATATAACTCCTGTATAATAATAATAAATACAGTTTCCATAAGTATTTGTCTTTTTACCTGCAAACATATCGGTGTTTCTTTACAGTCAATATATTACACTTGTTAGTCACACTGCACATCAGGCAAGTGACACCTTTATTCAGTAGCATTTTAACAGAGCCATCTTCCATTTATAAGCATGGCTACTAGTAGAGTTCACAGAGCTGCAGTGAAAGACAAAGTTACGCTAAATTCTGGTATATAAAAAAAAACAAAACTATTCAAATATGTATTCCTAACTCAAAGTACCTTCTATTACCCCCAGTCTCCTCCAAATCGCCATATTCCTTTTTCTTGCTGCTGTGACTATCTTAGAGGGTGGCTGTTGGTTCTCCAAGGTCCCAATGTACACTGCTCAAATAAATTAAAGGAACACTTTGAAAACCATCAGATCTCAATGGAGAAAAACATCATGCTGGATCTCTATACTGATATAGACTGGGTAATGTGTTGGGAAAGTACAGATGCCCCATCGTTTGATGGAAATGAAAATTATCAACCTACAGAGGACTGAATTCAAAGACAACCCAAAAATCAAAGTGAAAAAATGATGCAGCAGGCTAGTCCATTTTACTGAAATTAATTGCAGCAACTCAAAATGGTACTCAGTAGTTTGTATGGCCCCCACGTGCTTGTATGCATGCCTGACAATGTCGGGGGATGCTCCTAATGAGATGACGGATGGTGTCCTGGGGTATTTCCTCCCAGATATGCACCAGGTCATCACAGAGCTCCTGGACAGTCTGAGGTGCAACCTGGCGGTGTCGGATGGACCGAAACATGATATACCAGAGGTTTTCTATTGAATTTAGGTCAGGCGAGTGTGGGGGACCATTCAGTGGTATCAATTCCTTAATCCTCCAGGAACTGCCTCATACTCTCTTATGAGGCCAGGCATTGTCATGCACTAGGATAAACCCAGGACCCACTGCACCAGAGTAGGGTCTGACAATGGGTCCAAGGATTTCATCCAGATACCTAATTGCAGTCATTGTCTAGCCTGTAGAGGTCTGTGCATTCCTCCATGGATATGCCTCCCCAGACTATCACTGATCCACCACCAATCGGTCATGCTGAATGATGTTACAGGCAGCATAATGTTCTCCATGGCTTCTACAGACCCTTTCACGTGTCACATGTGCTCAGGGTGAACCTGTTCTCATCTGTGAAAAGCACAGGGTGCCAGTGGCGGACCTGCCAATTCTGTGGCAAATGCCAATGGAGCTCTATGGTGCTGGGCAGTGAGCACAGGGCCACTAGAGAACATCGGGCCCTCAGGCCACCCTCATGAAGTTTGATTGTTTGGTCAGAGACATTCCCACCAGTGGCCTGCTGGAGGTCATTTTGTAGGGCTCTGACAGTGCTCATCCTGTTCCTCCTAGCACAAAGGAGCAGATACCAGTCCTGCTGATGGGTGAAGGACCTTCTACGGCCCTGTCTAGCTCTCCTAGGGTAGCGGTCTGTCACCTGGAATCTCCTCCCTGCTCGAGACTGTGCTAGGAGACACAGAAAATATTCTGGCAATGGCATGCATTGAAGTTCCATGCTGGAGGAGTTGGACTGCCTGTGCATCCTCTGAAGGGTCCAGATATCACCTCATGCTACCAGTAGTGACACTGACCTTAGCCAAATGCAAAACTAGTGAAAAACAGAAAAGATGAGTAGGGAAAAAAATGTCAGTGGCCTCCACCTGTAAAACCATTCATTTTGGGGGTCATCTCATTGTTGCCCATCTAGTGCACCTGTTGTTGATTTCATTAACACCAAAGCAGCTGAAACTGATGGACAACCCCCCCTGCACTTAACTGACCAGATCAATATGCCAGGATCTTAACTGACTTGACGCTATACTCTGATCCTTTAATTTTTTTTGAGCAGTGTATGTAGGAACATAGTCACCCTCTCTTTCTCGCTCTTGAGATGAGCTAGGGACTACAGACGAAAGGATTTACAGTGTGCGTAGAGCAGTGCTAATGACCACAACTAACATGTTCAGCTCATTCTAAACAAATGGAAGTAAAAGGGAAAAGAAGAGGTTTTAACACTCCTACAGTCTATCCAAAACTTTAAAAAAATATATATTTTCTTTCGCAAACACACCATTATGGCATCCTTAAAGGACACCTTTGGTAGCACTGAACTTCAAATAGTTGCCCCCACACACCTGCAGACCCAGTCTCTTTCCTAGGCCCCCGTTCTGTGATCTTCACTGTGATGAACCACGCCGACTATCAGCAGAAATTGTCCCCACCAGGTCCTCCACTTCCTGCACATGGGCATTGTGGCTCTATTTATTCCTATAGGGAGCTGCACTCATGCTGGCCTACAGGGGTTCTGCTGAGTCCACATGCGCAAGTAGAAGGCACTTTTGAGAGGAAGTTTGTGGATCTCTGGCTAGAGCTGCACAGTGAAGAGCACTAGACAGGAGGGAGCCAAGCTAAGTGTTAGACCAGGTCCTAACCTACAGCCAGTAAGGAAATTATCTTAAGCTGGCCATACACTATACAATTTTCTGTCCAATTTCCTTTAGATTTTCCTTCAACTATGTAGTGTAAGGGCTTGCCTAATTGGATACAATTGAAAGTGTTGTTTAGGTTTAACCTCATATTATATGGTGTTTGGTAAATCTAAAGCAAAATTCTCAAGAAAATTGTACAATGTATGGCCAGCCTTACTGCCAAATAACAGCTTTCGTTAATTGACAAAACAGTCATACCCTCCAATCCTGCATGTTTTATGGCTTACATCATTGTGCTTACATTTGGACTGGTAACGGACAAGCATTTCCAACACAACAGATATCCTCTTTTTGCAGCAACTGTACACCAAATTAGCCTGACTTCCACTCTGGAGAGACCCGGTCATATAAATCTGATAAAATGCAATATATTAATCTAATATCTATAATGAAGAGATCACTGATCATGACCAGCTCCTCCCTTGTAGTTCTGGGCTGATTCCTCACCTTTCTTATGTTCAGCAGTGCAAGACAAATAAATTCTTTAAAAATCATACACTGTGATTTCCTGAATTTTTTTTTTTAATTCTGTCTCTCAGAGTGGGAATGCACCTACAATGTGAATTTCAGACCCCTCCATGATTTCTAAGTGGGAGAACTTGCAAAATCGCAGGGTGTTCAAATACTTCTGTTCCTCACTGTATCTTCTTATATCCTGCTCTAATTTTGCACTTACCTGTCCCTACTATGAGATTGGTACTGTGGGGCCTGCTGGGAGCCCTTGCTTCAAAAGTGTCCAGGCTAGGCTTTTCTTCTGCACATGCCTATTTCCTATGAAAAGGCCATCAACTTTTACCACAACAGGGTAATAAATGGCAACTGCAGTCCTCATTCACACAGGCACTGTGGCCTAAACCAGTGTTTCTCAACCTTTTTTTTAGTCAAGGCACCCTTTCAAATTATGGACAAACGTCAAGGCACCCTCTAAAATTATGGACAGTACCAAGGCACCCTTTAAAACTATGGACAGTACTAAGGCACCCTTTAAAACTATGGACAGTCTTGAGGCCCCCTCATTCTAAAATGTAAAAAACTATAATAGTTTTATATAATGCAGCAACATCCCCACACGTAGGGCACCCAACCTTAGAGGTAATTTATGCTTCTAAAGCAAATACACTTTTGCACGCTGGTGCTGACTAGCATTCCATTGTTTCTCTTCTCACTCAGTTTTTCCCATCACTCAGCTAATGTGACCCCAGTTCTGACGGAGAGGGGCAGGGGAAAGACAAACAAGGGTGCTGTGCAGGTACCGACATCCTCCTTTTCAAATGAGGATGTAATTGGTTGTCAGGATGCCGGTGGCTAGAAGGTTGTAATGGTGCACAATGAAAACCTGTGGCTTTGTAACTAAAAGGCAGGCTTGTTCCACCCGCCAGCTTGTATACAAGTTTTGGGCAATTTGTAGACATTTTGCCAAGGCACCCCTGAAGAAACCTCTAGGCACCCTGGTTGAAAAAGACTGGCCTAAACAACACGATTCAGATTGTTATTTAAGCAGCTTGAGGTGCCATTTGTTGAATGAAAGCAGCCAAAGTAAGCCTCTAGAGATGCAGTGGCTGTACGGTCACAGCTGCTCATCTTTATTGGACAGGCATGCTGGTGAGCAGCCTCCACATGCACAGAATGGGGAGAATTTGCGAAAACCGACGCACTCTGAATCTGGTGCAGTTGTGCAAAGTAACCAATCAGCTTCTAACTTCAGGTTGTTCAAAGAAGCGTTGACAATAAAACCTAAAAGCCAATTGGTTTCTATGCAGAGCCGCACAAGATTTTGCATCATGCAGTTTTACAAAATTATTATTATACAGGATTTCGATAGTTTGCTCAGTGCTTTACAAATATAAAGGGAGACAATACAGCAACAATACAAGAGGAATAGGAGGGCCCTGTCCTTGGAGCCTACAATCTAGAACTAAATATCCCCCTATGCATCTAGGGCTGCTCACCCATACAGCTGTTGCTTCATTATAGGATTACATGGTACACATAGCACCTCCAGACACATAATCAACCAATTCACAGAGTACGGGCCTCAGCCCCTGTGCGAATGAGACCAAAAGTATGGCCAGGGGACTTTTCTAAATGGCAGCAGGCCACACAGCAAGGCTCCCGCAGGAGCAAATGCAGATAAGTATGATACTTAGGTTTTGTTTTTTTTTTTTCTTTGATGCATGACACAGTTACAGAGTCTGTTAGAGGTTTTATTTGGTCTGCTAATAAATATTGAAAGTATGTTCGGATCAAGTGTTCAGTCTGTACAGCTCACAACAGTCAGGATTTGCTTCTCCTTCATTGGGTTCCTTCTTCACCCATTTGTAAGGCAGGTTGTTAACGTTGCTCTCAGCAAGATGTTCTTTCTTATTGTTCGACTCTTTGTGCCACATATCCACCATTTTCTGTAGCGTAGTAGCTCTAACATGCATTTCCGACTCATCACCCTGCAGGAGTAAATTACCAAATTCCATGACCAGACTGTTGATCATGTCTACCCTTTTGTTAGCTTCATCTTCAGATTTAGTATTGCAAAGTACCGTCTCCAATATCTTGTCGTGTGCCATTGGTTTTAAGGACCTCTTCTGGCACCTGACACTGATCATGTCTCTGTCAACCAGCTTTTTGTTTGTAAGAAGCATGGCTAAGATATGTCTACATGGCAGCTTATAACGAGTATTAAAAAAGCAAGTGCAGGACACTCCATCCTGAGAGACTTGATGGGATTCCTCCAGAAACCGGACATGAATAGAAGTGGTCTGCACACTTATAAGTTGGCTAGACTTCTGAACCACTTCCCACTCTTTACGGCACAGCTGAAAGCCAAGGTCGTTGCAGTTCTTCTTCAAAGAAAGTAGCATTTTGTCTGACGTTTTCTGTAGTTTGGAAGGCAACGGCTTGGGTTTGTGGCCTAAGGCGTCCATAACCTTTGATAAACTAGCATTCTTTTTCAAAGCGGGCCGGGTTGACTGCTGTGGAGAATCAATAGACTTTGCCTTCGTTCTTCTCTTTTTTGGAACTTTAACATTACTCTTGGAAAAATCCAAACAGCTATCCCTTTTGTTTTCTAACCCCTTGCTATTGAAATGATCTGCAGATTCAACAAACTGCTGAATTTTTTCTTCCATGGATAAATCTTTTTCAAGTAGGCTGGAGATGGTATCATTCACCAAGCCTAAGCTGTCCATGTACAGGTTACTAGAATGCAAACCTTTCTTCATATGCATGTACCACAGCAATTCACAAGAGAACCAATTTGTGTAAAGGTTTTCATACACCTTTTTGTCCAATTTGTACTGTATTTGCTCCGCTAAGAATTTCAGTTTCTCTGGGTTAGTGTGATGGATGGCATCATCGATCCATTTGCGCAGCCATTCCTTGAAGCAAGACGATCCCTTAATCTCTCTTTCAATGAAGCGCACAGTATGGAACACAGACAGTAGAGTCCTGGCTGAAGGAAATGCCTCTCTCAAGGTATCCCTGTGTCTGAAATAGATATCCGTATAGATAATCTTTACCTTTTGCCATTCTGGGTTGAAATTTTTAAAGGTTTCTAACATTTTGGTGACCTCCTTTGCATTATCCTCTCTAATGAAAGAAAAGTTAATTACCTTTCCTCTGCGCTCTGCGTTTTCCACTAGAAAAGCATAGACTGTGTATCCACCTTTACTGACTACCATGTGGATCAGAAGGCTCTCAGGGAACTTTACAAACAAGCCACACATTTTACTTGTTTGAAAGCTTATTTGCTCCAACTGTTGTTCACTTCCAATACTTAACAAGGCTTTGGAACCAATATCTTTGGTTTGAAATGTTTTCATCAAATCACCTAAGCGTGAAATAGCCTCTATAGACAACACCTCCTGAACACAGTCTATGCTGGCATTGGGAGAACCAGCTTCACTGCTCTCGTTTCCCTCCAAGGGCAAGCTCTCATCTTCACATGGCACATGCAGTTGAAGATTTTCATTATATTCTGTATCTAGAGTTAGAGATATCGTTTCACCGCATCTCTTTTTAGATGGGGATTCCAGCTCCCCACATTCAGAATGTACTATTTCCTGTGAAAGTGTAGGGGGAGACGCTGGCAGACTTGTCTGCTTGGTGTGGACATGGGTGGAGTATTCTTCTTTAACTACAAGTCGATCTATTACGGAATCATACTGCAGAAAAAAATAGGCCGGGCAGATGGCATCCGAAGACTTTCTTTTACCATTGTGTCCTTGCAGCTTGGAACAGCGAAACTTCACCTGAGTATATCTGGGGAAAAAAAAAAAAAAAAAAAATTTAAATGCAGATCACCATATACTACTAGAGGGTACAGAAACATTCAGAAGGTTATTACCAGATATACTCCTTTAGGCCACTTGCACATGGGGCAGTCTAGCTGCTGCGCATCCCTACCGGCATTTAATGCGAACGAATGGCACAGGTCCAGCATCCAGACCCACTGCCTACATCCTGTCAAAGTCTATGGCAGGCTATGACTCTGCACTGTGCCAAGTGGTACTGGCATTTAAGGTCCCTATGTGTTCAGGGATGAATGCCCAGAACACAGGTATTCTACATTCCGGGCATTCGTCCCTGAACACAAAAAAGGTCCTAAACACGAATACACCCAGTACAATTTTCTTTTTTTTTCCCATAACGTTTACCCCAGTACAATTTTCAGCCCTCTTCTAGTCACAGCTGCAGAGGATTGAATCTCATGATACCCAATATCACAGCAAAACATGTATGGAATGTTCAACAATATAAATTTAAATATTAAGTGGTGAAAAATGCAAAACATCACATTTCCCAATATATGTGTTAGACTTCTAAAATAGCAGATTTTCTATTTGTACTCAAAAATGATAACCTCCCCAGATTTTTTTTTCCTTCTTCATCACAATATCCCAGCTAAGACCTACAAAAACTCAGTAATACTACATCCGGTCAATGCAGCAAGCGCATATAGTATACCCCTGCATTGTAGAAGGCTATTCCCCCTCCATTCAACAATGGTTCCATTGGGTGGCAGATATCAAATTATTGAAAGACCTGCTCCTTCAAAAGGGACAAACTAAGTTCTGAGCCATGTGCTTCTATTAGATCGATTTCTCTTTAACAAGAGCATACAAACAGATCCTTAATGGTTTTAGGCTGGCCATACATTATAAAATTGTCTTGAGAATTTTGCTTTAGATTTACCAAAAACCATATAATATGAGGTCAGACATTAACAACGCTTTCAATTGTATCCAATTAGGCACGCCCTTACACTACATAGTTGAAGGTAAATCTAAATAAAATTGGGCAGAAATTGGACAGAAAAATTGTGTAGTGTATGGCCAGCCTTACTCTATCCAGCCCTCATCACTAACTCACACCCACCCGATCTACCATGTAGGTAAATAATCCCATGCTTTTTCCAACCCCAAATTCCCCATACTTCATTTTTACATTTAGATTGTTATTTTTTTCAACTTCTAAAATGACACTAAACTCTGGTTTAAAAAAAGAATTCTATTTAACAAGTTGATTACAATGAACTTGCTACTCGCATAAAAAAAACCCATCATAGTACTCAGGGCATGTGTAGCATGTCTAGTCCTTCGGCCCCTGTACGGCATTCCCTCTTGGGTTCTAAAAATGTAGCTGGGAGCTGAACATGACTTTTATACTGTTGCGCTGTGTTTTAGCCACAGCACAGTGCATCCAAGGTTTCTCATACACTTTATATTATGTCCTGCATTTTTAGCGCATTTTCTAAAAATGCACCAAAGATGCAGCATGCAGGGCTTTTGTCGCTCTTTCAGAAAACGTGTCAAATACAGGGGACATAATAGAAAGTCTATGGGAAATCCGAAAAAAAAAAAAAAAAAAAAAAAAGACACAGCTTGACAGTGTGAAAGCAGTTTGTTCACATCTATCCAGGTGCGACAGTGCACGAGTTTTTGCATATCGCATTTAGGGCAGCCCATTCATTTCAATAAGCTGCCCTATGTGCAAAAATTGCACAAAAGTGCTTGACCATTTTTAAAACCATGCCAAACTAAAATGCATGTTACCATGTTGCTTTGCATTTGCATACATGGTAGCATTGAATGAATGACACTACTGAGCGCCTGCAAACGAAATTGTGTGCATTGCGGGAACATGCGCGATTCTGCGTGCGTTACCACAATGCACAAATGTGAACCTAGCCCTACAGAATGATTCCAGGAATGCTAGGTTATACAGTTATATTGGTCCAGCTCGGGCCAATGCAACTATGTATGTCCTAACCCCAGAAACCACTAAACAGCTCATCCACTCTCTCATCATATCACGACTCGACTACTGCAACTCCCTCCTCACTGGCCTGCCTCGCCGCTGGCTATCCCCGCTTCAGTCGATCCTGAATACGGCTGCCAGACTCATTCACCTTTCCAACCGCTCTGTCTCCGCCACCCCCCTCTGCCAATCCCTCCACTGGCTTCCGATTGCACAACGGATCAAATTCAAAATCCTAACGCTGACGTACAAAGCTGTCCACCATACTGCCCCGAACTACATCACTGACCTAATATCCAAGTACCGCCCAGCATGCACACTCCGCTCCTCACAAGACCCTTCTCTCTAGTTCCCTGGTCTCCTCCTCCCATGCCCGCCTCCAGGACTTCTCCAGGGTGTCACCCATCCTCTGAAACTCCCTGCCCCAACCCATCAGACTATCGCCTACTCTCCTCTCCTTTAGGCGCACCCTGAAAACCCATCTCTTCAGGGAAACCTACCCCACCCCCTGCTAACTTGCCGACCTCCTCCACTCTTCCTACCACTCCATCATCCCCCACAGCTATCTCCTCCTGTACCACCATCCCCTCCCTCCTAGATTGTAAGCTCGAAAGAGCAGGGCCCTCGAACCCCTCGTGTATCACATTGTATTGGTATTGTTCTGTCACATGTTCTGTCCCCCTTTGTAATGTACAGCGCTGAGCGAACTATTGGCACTTTACAAATACTGTATAATAATAATAATAATGTATGTGCCATACATGGCCAATGCCCCTTGAAATCACTGAACTGCTTTTCCAGTTATCGCCACTCACTTCTGGGTCCCGTGCAGAGCGGCGGCTTGATGCATTGTGAACACAGGTGGGCAGCTGCTCTGCATGGGTGCCATTCAGAGAATGCTTTGCATTTCCTAAATGAAAGCAAAGTGATCTCAGATTGGACAAGGTGGAGAGTGTGAAGCCACTGCCCCGCCTGTCTGCCTCGTCCAATAAGAGAATGCTTTGCATTTCCTAAATGAATGCAAAGTGTTCTCAGAATGGACAAGGTGGAGAGTGTGAAGCCACTGCCCCCGACTGTCTGCCTCGTCCAATTAGAGAATGCTTTGCCTTTCCTAAATGAATGCAAAGTGTTCTCAGATTGGACAAGGTGGAGAGTGTGAAGCCACTGCCCCGCCTGTCTGCCTCGTCCAATAAGAGAATGCTTTGCCTTTCCTAAATGAAAGCAAAGTGTTCTCAGATTGGACAAGGTGGAGAGTGTGAAGCCACTGCCCCGCCGGTCTGCCTCATCCAATAAGAGAATGCTTTGCATTTCCTAAATGAAAGCAAAGTGATCTCAGATTGGACAAGGTGGAGAGTGTGAAGCAACTGCCCCGCCGTCTGCCTCATCCAATAAGAGAATGCTTTGCATTTCCTAAATGAATGCAAAGTGTTCTCAGATTGGACAAGGTGGAGATTGTGAAGCCACTGCCCCGCCTGTCTGCCTCATCCAAGAAGAGAATGCTTTGCATTTCCTAAATGAAAGCAAAGTGATCTCAGATTGGACAAGGTGGAGAGTGTGAAGCCTCTGCCCCGCCTGTCTGCCTCATCCAATTAGAGAATGCTTTGCATTTCCTAAATGAAAGCAAAGTGATCTCAGATTGGACAAGGTGGAGAGTGTGAAGACACTGCCCCGCCTGTCTGCCTCATCCAATTAGAGAATGCTTTGCATTCAATCAGAAAATGACTAATGCAGCCACCACATAGAAGAATTGGTAAACTGCACTATTTACTTTTTTTGGGGGGGTTTAGATACAGTTCAATATTAATTTGTCCCTCAGCCAAAAGATCAGGTGCAGCTACTTTTTGGGCATTATGACAGCTATTGTCAGCAGCTGTCAGAATACAAGTCAGCAGGGGGATTCGACTATCTGTACTGTTTAGTGTAGATGAAGGGATCCACTACATTTTTTGTTCAGCAAACAGGCTGAGGCACTAAAATCCTATGGCTGAGCATTTTTTTCCGTTCCTCAACAGTTCCCCCTTTAGCTGGAAAGGCAGTGGCTGGGAGTGTTGCAGCCGTGATTCTTTGCTTCACAGCAGGTATTATACCCCCATTGCGTTTAGCAGGCACTGCCATCCGCCAAATGCAACCCATTCAAGTGGATGGGGCTGCACTGCAACCCCCCGACAACTGCAAGCAATGCACACAGCTATGGTGCAGTAGTCTGGCATTTATGGGTTGAAGCAGCCTTTCAAATGCTCTCTGAAGAGCAATCTGAATGCAGATTTCTCTTCAGGAGCAACAAGTGTAAGCAAGTGTAAGCAAGGCCTATGGCACATAGTCACCAGGCACAGGAAGGAGAGGTTTGCAGTGCACCCCATCACATAGGTGTTCCTGGCACAACGGCTGTCTGATTCACACTACTAGGTTGAGGAGACCAGTCACCCAGCACACAGATAACTGGATTGGACGACTGCTCTCTAACAGAAAATGCTGTTTCGACCAGTTACCAGGGAGCGTTTTCTAATAGCTCCGACCTGATTAAACTGCAGCGGTTTTTTGCACTTCAGCCATTGCTCAAAAGGAATCCATTCATGGTATAAAAGACATGTTCACATCTATGCAATGCACTTCCATTCTACCTGGAAAACTGTTCTTTTTTTGGGGGGGGGGGGCGTAGCGAGTGCACACAGCCCCTTAAACAAGAAAGAAAAAATGAAATGGTAAAGCCAGGCCACTTGCTGCATTTCATTAATCAAGAATGTATCTTCCAGGTCCAGCTCAGGTTCTATGCAAGCAGCTTCCCTTTTGCCCACTGACCACTGGTGGTTGTTCGTTTGGCACTGCCACCATTCGTAGAAAGTCTTGTATTAATTTCAATAAATACAAGGCGTTCTCTGATTGGACAAGGTGTAGATCATTTCATCACTGCCCCTCCTCTCTACATCATTCAACCAGGGAACGCCTTGTATTCACTGAAAAAAAATACAAGGTGTTCTAGGAATGGTGGCCGAGTGAAAGACCCTGTAGTCAGTGTGCAGAGGGGAAATGGTCACATGGGACCCAGAAGAATGCAGCTATCACTGTAGCACTGTAGTAGCACCGACAACTACATTTATCTACAGCTTCCACAGTGGTCCATCAGGTATGTGCATACTTATATGGTTGCAAGCTGGACTGAAGTATGCAATACAGGTAATACTTTGAGTTCAGCTTTAAAAGTGGAAGAAAAAAACCAAAAACACTTTTTTCCTTATAACATACATACAGTCAGGTCCATAAATATTGGGACATTGACACAATTCTAACATTTTTGGCTCTATACACCACCACAATGGATTTGAAATTAAACTAACAAGATGTGCTTAACTGCAGACTGTCAGCTTTAATTTGAGGCTATTTACATCCAAATCAGGTGAACGGTGTAGGAATTACAACAGTTTGCATATGTGCCTCCCACTTGTTAAGGGACCAAAAGTAATGGGACAATTGGCTTCTCAGCTGTTCCATGGCCAGGTGTGTGTTTTTTCCCTCATTATCCCAATTACAATGAGCAGATAAAAGGTCCAGAGTTCATTTCAAGTGTGCTATTTGCATTTGGAATCTGTTGCTGTCAACTCTCAAGATGAGATCCAAAGAGCTGTCACTATCAGTGAAGCAAGCCATCATTAGGCTGAAAAAACAAAACAAACCCATCAGAGAGAGAGCAAAAACATTAGGCGTGGCCAAAACAACTGTTTGGAACATTCTTAAAAAGAAGGAACGCACGGTGAGCTCAGCAACACCAAAAGACCCGGAAGACCACGGAAAACAAATGTGGTGGATGACCGAAGAATTCTTTCCCTGGTGAAGAAAACACCCTTCACAACAGTTGGCCAGATCAAGAAACACTCTCCAGGAGGTAGGTGTATGTGTGTCAAAGTCAACAATCAAGAGAAGACTTCACCAGAGTGAATACAGAGGGTTCACCACAAGATGTAAAACCATTGGTGAGCCTCAAAAACAGGAAGGCCAGATTAGAGTTTGCCAAACGAAATCTAAAAAAGCCTTCACAGTTCTGGAACAACATCCTATGGACAGATGAGACCAAGATCAACTTGTACCAGAGTGATGGGAAGAGAAGAGTATGGAGAAGGAAAGGAACTGCTCATGATCCTAAACATACCACCTCATCAGTGAAGCATGGTGGTGGTAGTGTCATGGCGTGGGCATGTATGGCTGCCAATGGAACTGGTTCTCTTGTATTTATTGATGATGTGACTGCTGATAAAAATGCAGCAGGATGAATTCTGAAGTGTTTCGGGAATATTATCTGCTCATATTCAGCCAAATGCCTCACAACTCATTGGACGTCCGCTTCACAGTGCAGATGGACAATGACCCAAAGCACACTGCAAAAGCAATCAAAGAGTTTTTTAAGGGAAAGAAGTGGAATGTTATGCAATGGCCAAGTCAATCACCTGACCTGAATCCGATTGAGCATGCATTTCACTTGCTGAAGACAAAACTGAAGGGAAAATGCCCCAAGAACAAGCAGGAACTGAAGACAGTTGCAGTAGAGGCCTGGCAGAGCATCACCAGGGATGAAACCCAGCGTCTGGTGATGTCTATGCGTTCCAGACTTCAGGCTGTAATTGACTGCAAAGGATTTGCAACCAAGTATTAAAAAGTGAAAATTTGATTTATGATTATTATTCTGTCCCATTACTTTTGGTCCCGTAACAAGTGAGAGGCACATATGCAAACTGTTGTAATTTCCTACACCGTTCACCTGATTTGGATGTAAATACCCTCAAATTAAAGATGACTGTCTGCAGTTAAAGCACATCTTGTTCGTTTCATTTCAAATCCATTGTGGTGGTGTATAGAGCCAAAAATGTTAGAATTGTGTCCATGTCCCAATATTTATGGACCTGACTGTATCTATAGTTACTTGCTCTGTGCAATAGAATTGCACAAAGTGGCCCCGGACACTCTTCTCGGGTCCCCCACTGGCACTCTTGGCTCCTCCCCTCTGCCAAGTGCCCCCAGTGGGAAGCCACTTCCTCAGGGGGCACTTGTGCAGGCTCGCTCCTGAGCCCCGCTGCTGCGTCCATTGACACAGACAGCAGGACTTGCCTCCACCGCGCCCTCATCACTGGCTTTGATTGACAGCAGTGCAAGCCAATGGTTCCTGCTGCCTCAGCAAACCTGTGAGCCCCAGAAATGAGAGAAGAGCTGCAGACGTGCACAGCGCTGGATTGAATGAGAGTTCATGTAAGTATAAGGAAGGAGGGAAGGGACAGGGGCCACTACTGATGCCTACACATATTTTACCTTAACCACTTGCCTACCGGGCACTTTTACTCCCTTCCTGCCCAGGCCAATTTTCAGCTTTCAGTGCAGTCGCACTTTGACAATTGTGCGGTCATGCAGCACTCTACCCAAACATTTTTTATATTTTTTGAGATATATAGAGCTTTCTTTTGGTGGCATTTAATCACCTCTGGGTTTTTTATTTTTTGTTAAACAAAACTAAAAAAAAAAAAAAAAAAAAAAAAAAAAAAAAAAAAAAGACTGAAAATTTTGGAAAAAAAAAAAAAAAACGTTTCTTAGTTTCTGTTATAAAATGTTTAAATAAGTAATTTTTCTCCTTCACTGATGTGTGCTAATGAGGCTGCAGTGATAGGTGGCACTGGTAAGCATTGACAGGCATCACTGGTGGGCACTGAAAGACAGCACTCGTATATGGCACTGAAAGGCAGCACTGATATGTGGTTTGATGGGCACTAAAGGGCACTTGTATGTGGTATTGATGGGCACTGACAGGTGACACTGATGGGGCTACACTGAACATCAGGGCACTGATGATCAGTGTAGATGTCCACCCTGAGAAATGCTGATTACCGGCTCTCCTCACCTCACATGCTGTCGGTGTAAGGAGAGGACTGGCGATAACCAGCATTTCCTTGTTTACATGTGATCAGCTGTGCTTGGACACAGCTGATTACATGACAGAGCCGATGTCATCGGCTCTTTAGTGTGATTGATGATCCACTGTGTCCCAGGGACATAGCACACCGCCTATTGGCGTGTGCAGTTAGAGTGGGAGGACGTCATGTGACATCCTCCCAGAACAAGAGAGACGCAGCCCATCATTTCCTTATATAATAGGCGGGAAGCAGTTAAAAGGACCCTGCATTCACTATATCTGGTCTCCCAGGACCCTGCATTCACTGTATCTGGTCTCCCAGGACCCTGCATTCACTATATCTGGTCTCCCACAGTACACAGACTATGGAAGTGCAATTATTTTAGTAAATTTAAACTGCTAAATACCTTTTCTCATCAGCAGTTAGAGCAGTCTTGTGACTTCTATCAGTGTCCAGCTGAGCACTGGTTAAATTTGTAGGAGGAGTTTTCATTCTCCTCTGACTGTCCTATGAAGTTGCATACTCCCTGACCCTCTGACTGGACCGTGCTGATTGGCCCTGTGCTGATCACATGCACTCTCCCAAAGGAAAAACCAACAACTCTCTAGCCATACACACTAAACTGAGCATGTGCAGAGCTCTGTACTATCAGCAGATGGATTGGGGACAGCAGAAGAAGGGCAGGATCAAACAGCCTTTTTTACACAGTGCGGAGGATTAACCAATTAGGTTCCACAGAGTATAACAAGCATGCTTTACTGCATATACAGACAGATTTTACTGTTGTGGGTTTAGTAACACGTTAAAAAGCGGAGTTCCACCCAAAAGGGGAGGTTCCGCTTTAAAGATTGGTCCCCCGATCCCCATTAAGGATTGGCACCTTTGGGGGAGCGGGAGGGAACAGGTACCCGCTCCCACTGCGATCGCCTAGGCGATCGGAGACGGAAGTTGTCCTCCTTCCCTCCCCGAAGTTTTGTGGGACACGTGACAGGTCCCAGAAGACAACGGGGCCATTTAGGAAGCGCAGCGCAGTGGGCAGCCGGCTATGAAGCCGCAAGCTGTGACAGCCGGGTGCCCATACTGAAGATGCCGGCGCCTGGAATACAGGATGGCCGGTGAAACGGCCTGCGGCGGGGGCATCGTGGGATCATAGGGCAGGTAAGTGGCTGTTTTTTAAAAGTCAGCAGCTACAGTTTTTGTAGCTGCTGACTTATTTTTTTTACAGAGCGAGTGGAACTCCACTTTATGCAAGGAATGCATTACGGTTAAAAATACTGAGGCTTTAGAACTACTCTAAGGTGCTTGTAAGCCCATGTATACACACACACACACACCTCTTTTTCCCCTCTTCGCTGTGCAACACTTCCGGGACTGAGCAGAGTGAATCAGTGTATTTTCCTGACCAATCAGAACCTCTGGGCCATCCTGGAAGCGCTGCACAGAGAAGAGGGATCAGCTGCATGGGCACTGACAGCTGGGCACCCCTGGAGGTAAGTACAGCAGGGCCCAAGGAAGGCAGTGAGGGTGTTAGTTCACCTTTTTTCTGTAAAGATGAACCAACTCGTCAGTGCTAGGCTTTTCACTGTCACCCCGCCAAAACCACTAAATAAAAAACCCACCAGTTTTGGGTGGAGTGACCCCTTGTCCCAGCATACTACCAGTGCGGATTCTTACATGATGTCCTCGCGGATATCAGTGCCATGCTTGAGGTTGTGCTGCTGGACGGATACGCAGCTCTGGAGCATGAAACTCAGCTTGGTCTCCTTCTTGTAGGAATCGAAGCATTCCCGGAAATCCTCATAGTTGATGAAGCAGGTTCCGCGCTGCATACTGGAGAACCTCGCGCT